CTGCAGCTCTGTTTTTATTGTGTTTTTTCAAACTCTTTTAGTTCTGTCAGTTTTCTCTTAAAAGCTACTTTTTACTTAAAATCAGAAAGAAACTACGAAAAATAAGCATTTTCATCAAGTGTAGTAAAAATACTGAATAAAACCTTTTGCTGAGTTTAAAACAGTCAAAACAAAGCTGCATTTCAGATCAGTAGCTTAAAGCTAAAACTAGCAAAAGATTAATTGAAAGCTAAAATTAGCAAATCAGTAGCTTAAAGCTAAAACCAGCAAAACATTAATTGAAAGCTAAAATTAGCAAATAGTAGCTTAAAGCTAAAACCAGCAAAAGATTAATTAAAAGCTAAATTTAGCAAATCAGTAGCTTAAAGCTAAAACAAGCAAAAGATTAATTGAAAGCTAAATTTAGCAAATCAGTTGCTTAAAGCTAAAACCAGCAAAAGATTATTGAAAGCTAAAATTAGCAAATCAGTAGCTTAAAGCTAAATCTAGCAAAACTGTATTTGAAACTTAACCTTAGCAAGACGGTACATAAAATCTAAAATCAGCTGCAGTTTGCATCTGACCAATAGGAGAATTGTTGCTAAAATCTTAAACAGCAAAAGAGTAGCATAAAGCTAATATCAGCAGATTAGATGCAAAATGCTAAAACCAGCAAAACATTTGTTTAAAGGTGACATTAAGCTAAAAAATATTAAAGCTTAAAAAGCATAAATAWAACTAAAATAAGCAAACTGTAGCTAAAACTAAAAACAGTCATGCTGATCTGTTAAAACAGTATTTGATTAAATAAATAGAGAATTTTGCTATTTATAAAGTATTCTCTGAAGAAAACCAATGTGTTTGAGTTGAACAGGATGAAAGATATTCTGATTCTCAGAGTTTCAGGAGGTTTTATGAATAAATAATTTTGTTTATTTGATTTTGCTAAAAGAAARAATAAAAGTACCAGTAAGTTTATTAGTGGATGTGCTGTTTATTAGTTGCATCAAAACTCCTAAAACTCTCTTGGTCTTGAATCAGAAACATCRAGGTTCTGCTTCATTTTGAATGTTTTCTTGAGGCGTCTCTTCTTTAATCTGATTAAATCAGATTTTATCCTGATGATAAATCACTCCTGAAACAGTCAACAGGTTACCGACAGACACCCGTTGTTTGTCTTTACCTTGAGAATACTTTTATTAAAAAAAGGTCATCAACCACTCCGAGTGCRTCTCTCATCCTTCAGGAAGGACGGCCATGTTTTATCCATCAGCTCCGAAGCCTAGCTAAATTAAATCAATGGCTGAAACCGGAGCCGKGGCCTCGACTGCACCAACAGAAATAGAAAATCTAGTTTTGTTTTCTGCTGATGACATTAGTGCGTTCCCTAAATGGTCGCTCCACCGTCGTCAAAGAGGAACATAACAAGGATATAATTACAGGAGGAGCTCATCTTCATTTTCCTGTAAAACACTCAGCCTGCTTTAGAGCTTTATGGATTATTACACACACACATGCTGGCAGGTAATGATTTATTTCTCAGCTGTATCATGTTATCCCTCTAATTAAACTTCTCAAGGTGAACAGAAGGAGAGTGGGAAGCTGCGTGTTATTGACCACATGGGAGATTCATTAAAAGGCTGCATTAGGTGTCACCCGAACCGTCCGTTAAATTTCCTGCTGACAGAAGAGATCAAAAATGTATCAAGGCAGGAAACAAAGCATGGAGACATTTAACAAAGCATTGATACAGGGAACTAAGCATGGAGACATTTAACAAAGCATTGATACAGGGAACTAAGCATGGAGACATTTAACAAAGCATTGATACAGGGAACTAAGCATGGAGACATTTAACAAAGCATTGAGATGGAACTAAGCATGGAGACATTTAACAAAGCATTGAGACGGAACTAAGCGTCAAGACAAAAACAACATTGAGACTGAAAAGTAAGCACAGGGACAGGGAACTAAGCGTCAAGAAAGAAAACTAAACAGTGAGACTGAAAAGTAAGCACAGGGACAGGGGACTAAGCATTGATACAGGGAACTGAGCACAGCGACAGGGAACTAAGCATTAAGACAGGGAACTGAGCACAGCGACAGGGAACTAAGCATTAAGACAGGGAACTGAGCACAGCGACAGGGAACTAAGCATTAAGACAGGGAACTAAGCACAGGGACAGGAAACTAAGCATAAAACATTTAATAAAACATTGAGACAGAAAACTAAACAGTGAGACTGAAAAGTAAGCATAGGGACAGGGAACTAAGCATTGATACAGGAAACTGAGCACAGGGACAGGGAACTAAGCATTGATACAGGAAACTGAGCACAGGGGCAGGGAACTAAGCATTGAGACAGGGAACTAAGCATTGAGAAAGGGAATTAAGCATTAGGACAGGGAACTAAGCACAGGCACGGAACTAAGCATTGAGAAAGGAAACAAAGCATTGAGAAAGGAAACAAAGCATTGAGATTGAAAACTAAGCACAGGGGMAGGGAACTAAGCATTGAGAAAAGAAACAAAGCTTTAAGATAGGGAACTAARTGTCAAGACAGAAAACTAAGCATTGAGACTAAAAAGTAAGCACAGGGACAGGGAACYAAGCATTGATACAGGGAACTGAGCACAGGAACAGGGTGTAGGGTTCACCTCAAGTCAAATTATCAAGGAACTGTCTTGGACTCTCAGTCCTCTGATGAGTGTCAAGGCAGGGAACTAGGCATTGAGAYATTTAACAAAGCATTGAGACAGGAAACTAAGCATTGAGACTGAAAACTAAGCACAGGGACAGGAAACTAAGCATTGATACAGGGAACTGAGCACAGRGAACTAAGCATTGAGATGGGGAACTAATCACAGGGACAGGGAACTAAGCATCAAGATGGGGAACTAAGCATCAAGACTGAAAACTAAGCATTAGGACGGAACTAAGCATCGAGACAGGAAAAGAAGCATCAAGAAACTTTGAACAATATATTTTTCTTGTTCTTATAGTAGTCATTGTATTTTTTTCATTTAACACAAAATAACACAATAAACTAAAAATAAAAATGATGAAGTTTATGTTTGTTGCCATAAAAGTAAAAGAGCAAATCAAAACTATACATCTGTCCCTCTTTAATGTTTATCATCTCTTTCTGCAGGAGTGGCAGGTCTGTACTTCCCTCAGAAAGAATATATTGAAACGGTGTATGTTGGACAGCCAGCRGGGACACCAGTCCTGCAGATCCACGCCATGCTGGACAGTGACTCTGAAAAACCACACCTGTACCTGTGTGAGAGCCGACACTCACCTTACAGCACCTGGTTCCACCTGAACCCCAGTACAGGAGTCTTGTCCCTGAGGAAGACCCTGGAGGAGGTGGACTTTTCCTCGCTGAGTGAGTTGGACACCAGCATGTTGATGCTCGTATTGTTTCTATTGTCCTGATTTAGTTCCCATAGTCCTTGTGGTCCAGGTGTGGTTTCTGTGGTCAARGTGTGGTTTCTATGGTCCAGGTGAATTTCCTATGATCAATGTGTAGTTTCTGTAGTCCAACTGTAGCTCCTGTGGTTTATGTGTGGTTTCTATAGTCCATATTTAGTTTATATGGTCTAGGAGTAGTTCCTATAGTTCAAGTGTAGCTTCTGTGGTTCACGTGTCATTTCTATTGTCCARGTGTAGTTTTTATAGTCTAGTGGTAGTTTGTATGTTCAGATGTGGTTTCTATGGTTCAAATGTGGTTTCTATGGCCCACTGGCAGCTTCTATGGTTTAGGTATAGTTTCTGTGGTCCAAATGTGGTTTTTATAGTCCAGGTTTGTTACTATGGACCAGTGGTAGTGTTTATGGTCTGGGTGTATTTTCTGTGGTCCAAGGATAATTTTTATAGTCCGGAAATAGTTTATATGGTCTAGGTGTAGTTTCTAGCTCAAGAAACCCAAACTATAGGATTTATCAGCAAGGAAAAACAAGTCTAGTCTTAAAAGTAGACAGAGTGTCAGCCTCACGGACAGAAACTGGAAGTTGGTTCCACAAGAGMGGAGCTTGATAAKTGAAAGCTCTGCCTYCCATTCTACTTTTAGAAACTCYAKGAACCACAAGTAAACCTGMAGTCTGAGAGTGAAGTGCTCTGTTAAAAAATGTTCTGTTGCAACAAAACTGGAGAGTAAATGAATTATTAATGTACTGAAGATGATGATGTGATTGCCAACAGTCAAAGCACAGCGAGAGAACTTCTGTTTCTTATTTTGGCTCTGGGTTTCCTCAGGTCAAGGTTTGTGGCAACGGAAAAAGTTGTCCCTCCAGGCCGCGGTTTTGACCACCGTTATCAGGAGGTCCCAGTGCAACCCCCAAAAAACAGCCCACATCACCCTGGAGTTTRTCAACGCCTCCGTGCCACTGTGCCCCACCCAGACAGATTTCAAGGAACTTTGCTTCCCGCCCATGGACGCCTCCAACCCCCACGTGAGGGAGAACAGGTTCCCCGGGGCCCTCCGGCAGCTCCGGCAACTCACGAGACTCGACGCCTGCCCTAATTACACCGTCTCCTACAGCGTGGAGTCAGGTGAGGATCCGTTAGAAGATTCTGAGCAATGATACCTGAAATGTAGACAAAGCTAACTTGTTTCCTGTCTATAGAAACCCCAGCACCATTTGCCGTTAACGGGAACACCACGGAGCTGGTGGTGACCGCTCCTTTGGACCGAGAGGAAAGTGAAAAATACAAAATCCTGGTGGTTTGCACCGTCCAAACAGAAACCTCCATCACCAAAGTGCACGCTTCGCTGGAGGTCCTGGTGGACGACGAGGACGACAACGCGCCGTACGTGAACGGGACGGACACCGCCGTCGTCGTCATCAGCTACAATCGCAAAAAGGCAAAAMTAACCGCCACGTTTTCGCCGAGGCTGAACATCGGACCAAAACTTATTTATCGTTTCCCTCATTTCAGGGGGCAACTTTCGGCTCCCTCTTTGTTTTTGACAGGGATTTGACCACGATTTACCCAAAAGACCAGAGCGGAAACAAGTTTGTGGAGACGTTCGTCAGCAGCGACGCCTGGATCAAAGAAACCTTTGATGTCAAAGGAACCTTCAGTGAAAGGAAAGCTGCTCAGGGAGGAGTTCGAGAGTCCGTCTTTAATTACCGTAAGAACCAAAACTTAATTCAAACCAGAGAAAGGCTGAATTCWGAAGGAGCTGAAACAGATGAAAAAAGCTGAGCATTAGCTAAAAGCTACAAGAAGCAAAATGCACACAAAAATAACAAAACGCTAAAAACTAAAAGTAGCAAATATCTGTCGCAATGTAGCATAGCGTAAGCTAAAACTTAAGAGTGRGGAAATGCTAACCAGTGTTAGCTAGAGACTAGCTAATGTAGCAACAGTGTAGCTTAAAGCTGAAARTTTTAGTAAAGTTAAAAGTTAGCTAACGGTTAAAAGCAGCAAGTAGCAAAAGATTAACTAAAAGCTAAAAGTAACATGTTTGCTAYRAAAGTATGATAAGYTAGCTAAAARTAGCAAAAGGCKAACKCAAAGCKAAAAGTAACTAAATGTTTGCCAAAAGTTAAAAGTAGGRAAAAYCCTGCAAAAGCTAAATAAAMTAAAGCCTTGCTAAAAATAGTAAAGTGGTAGCTGGAACTAAAAGTAGCAAAAGAAAAGCTTAAAGGTAAAAGTAGTGAAACACTAGCTAAAAGTATCAAAATGTTAGCTTAAAGATAAAAGTAAACAAAGTAACTAAAACAATCAAAAGGATAGATAAAAGCTAGAAGTAGCAAAATTTTAGCTACAAGCAACAAACAGCTTTCTTGAAGCTAACAGTAGCTAGAGGCTAGATAAATTTATAAAAGGCTAACTGAAAAATAAAAGTATCAAAATGCTTGATAGTGTCTTGAATACAGCAAAAGTTTGAGTAAAAGCTAAAACTAGCATGACAATAAAAAAAACACAGCTTGCAGCTAAAGCTGATTTCAAAGAAAGTTTCTGAAGAACYGAACAGCTCTTGATGTGTTTCTGTGGAAAAATATATATTTAAATAAAGTTAAACATTTTGAAAAACCTTAGTTATTAAAAAACAWTAACTTGATTTGTTCTTTTTCACACTCGTTCCTCTGATTTCAGAGCTCGTCCTGAAGAAAAACCTGGATGTGACGGAGAACCGGAGCGTGTTTCTGGAGTACCGGGTCAACGACACCACATACCCGGGTCCACAGGGGACGGTCCTGCTGCACTTCAACATCACCATTTTACCGGTCCAGATCCACTTCACCAACAGCACATACATGTTCAGTGTGTCCCGCAGAGCCTCACTTTACGCACAGGTACAAAGGTTTTAACACCCACAYCTGGTTTAGTCCAGAGTCTTAAATTAAGTCTTTATAAAGTCTGGAGGTCCAACAGGTTGAAGGTTTTATTGAAGGAGGAGCTGGAGAGACAAAGGTCAGAGTTTCTCACAAATCAGTGTGAACAGATGAGAAACTCCAGCCTTCTGTAGACATCTATAGATCATATGTCCATCCAATCTGTCCAACAAGACTGTCCAACCAACCTGTCCAACAAGACTGTCCAACAACTATCCAACAAGACTGTCCAGCAAGACTGTCCATCCAATCTGTCCAACTTGACTGTCCATCCAATCTGTCAAACTTGACTGTCCAAAAAGACTGTCCAACAAGACTGTCCAACCAACCTTTCCAACAAGACTGTCCAACAACTGTCCAACCAACCTGTCCAACAAGACTGTCCAACCAACCTGTCCAACAAGACTGTCCAACCAACCTGTCCAACAAGACTGTCCAACCAGACTGTCCAATCAGCCTGTCCAACCAACCTGTCCAACAAGACTGTCCAACCAACCTGTCCAACCAACCTGTCCAACAAGACTGTCCAACCAACCTGTCCAACAAGACTGTCCAACCAACCTGTCCAACAAGACTGTCCAACTAAGACTGTCCAATCAGCCTGTCCAACCAACCTGTCCAACAAGACTGTCCAACCAACCTGTCCAACCAACCTGTCCAACAAGAACCAACCTGTCCAACACGACTGTCCAACCAACCTGTCCAACACGACTGTCCAACACGACTGTCCAACCAACCTGTCCAACACGACTGTCCAACCAACCTGTCCAACAAGACTGTCCAACCAATATGTCTAACCAGACTGTTCATTCATGTAAAGTACATTTTTCATTAGATGTTCCACGAATGATGAGTTTATTGTTTAATTTTGAGGTAAAACTCTGGGTTTGTAACTGTCAGTCTTTAGTTTTATCTTCATAAAGTCTTTTTTTTCATAGTTCAGGTTGATTTCAGCTCATGTCTCTTTAAGGACCACCTCCCTCCCGTCAGCTGATGGCAGAGTGCCAGGCATCATATTAGAGCTGCGCCTCTCTGCTTTATGGAAATATATTTTATGGTTATGTAATTAAGTAAAAGAGGGGAAAGCCTGGACTTCAGGGTGATTCAGCAGTACTGAAGATGTGTTTTCAACAGAGGAGATATAAGAACAGAGAGAGCGCCACCTGCTGGCAGCAAAATGATTAAACAAAACAGAATCTAGAACAATCAGTCAGAAGAAGTCAGGGATTCTGATTTCCTRTTTTWTTGTTCTAACTACCTCWGCATACTTTGTGTTATTTTAGCYRTTCWTTAATCCAAAATATTTAGCTCATTTAGAAAACAGMTGCTATGACTTTTGATTTCTGTAGCTTTTGTACTTTTTAGAATATTTAACTTTATTTATAAATGTCCACGCTTCCATCAAAAACTTTGTTCTGCTTCAGAAAACTGGCAAATTTTAGCTTTAGATGTTGTTTGGCTACTTTTAGCTTTAGATTATGTTTGGCTACTTTTAGCTTTATATATTGTTTGGCTACTTATAACTTTAGATGTTTGGCTACTTTACCTTTAGATGTTGTTTGGCTACTTTACCTTTAGATGTTGTTTGGCTACTTTTAGTTTTAGTATTTGTTTGGCTAATTTTAGCTTTATATCTTGTTTGGCTACTTATTGGTTTGGATGTTGTTTGGCTAATTTTAGCTTTATAAATTGTTTGGCTACTTATAACTTTAGATATTGTCTTTTGTTATTATTACCTTCTAGCTAGTTGGTTTTTTTGTTTCTATTTTAGCTTTGAGTTAACCTTTTTCTTCTTTTAGCTTCTAGCTAGCCTTTTAATATTTTAGCCTTAAGCTATACATTGGATGCTTTCAACTTTGCTACCTACTTTAGCATTTTACTTCATTTAGCTAGCCTTTTGCTACTTTTAGCTTTTATCTAGCCTTTTGCTACTTTAGTCTTTGTCAAGCTTAATGCTATATTTTGTTAGTCTTTTGCTAATTTTAGCTTCCAGTTAGCCTTGTGATACWTTTAGCTAGCTTGTTGCAATGTTTTCCTTTTAGATAAACTTTTTCTACTTCAGTTTTTTGATAAACTTTCACAGATTTTAGCTATTATTTTAGCTGTGAGCAAGCCTTTAGTTGGTTTTAGTTTGTAGCTATCATTTAGCTTCCTTAAGCTTTTAGCTGCATTTTTTTTACCTTGTGTTTTTGTTAACTTTAATTAGAACGTTTGCCTTTTAGCTAATGTTTTGCTTCTTTTATCATTAACCACACAGTTTCAGCTGCTTCGGCAGCTTTTAGCAGCCTTCAGCGTTCAGCTCAAACTGAGTTTTAGTAGAAAAATATATTTTTTATTGTTAAATCAATGTTTTTGACTTGTTTTATTTCCTGTCAGGTTGGACGAGTCTGTGTGGAAAACTGCCTTCAGTTCGACGGCTTCAGTGTCTCATATCAGCTGGAGGCTCCGGACAACACTTCGGCTGATTCGTCRTTCTGCTCCTCAGCTGTAAGCGTCATCCAGTCCTCGGACGGCGTGCAGGGAGTTCTGTACGTGAACAACTCGGAGGCGCTGAGAAAATGTCCGGACCTGCAGTACGTGGTCGTGGCTCAGGAGGGACAAACGCAGCTGGAGGCCAGCACCCAGATCCACATCGTGTTAGAGGGCGAAGGTAAAAACTGGAACCATCGTTTCCACTAATTCTTCTGATGAATTAAAGGATAGTTCAGACAGTTTTAGCCTTTTTGACACTTTATGCTARTGTTTTGACACTTTTAGCTACTAGTTAGTCTTTTGTAATTTTTAGGTAGCTTTTTGCTGCTTTTAGCTATTAGCTATGTTTTTGCTATGTTTAGCAGTTAGCCTTTTGATACTTCTAGATACCCTTTGATAATTTGAACTTGTTTTRGCCTTTATAAATATTTTAAGCAAGTGTTTCGATGCTTTTAACACACAAACCCACATTTTGCTGYTTTTGGCTTTTAGCTGTTGTTTGTTTTTTTTTAGCTTTAAGCTATTATTTTGCTACTTTATATTTTATCTAGCTATTGTGTTGCCAATTTAGGCTATTTTAGTTAGCCTTTTGATACTTCTAGATACCCTTTGATAAACTGAACTTGTTTTAGCCTTTATAAACACTTGAAGCTTTTGATGCTTTTAACCCACATTTTGCTGCTTTTGGCTTTTAGCTGCTGTTGTTTTTAGCTTTAAAGTGTCTGTGACATGCATATTCACGAAATACAAAAAGTCAAAGAAAGACAACATCTTTATATTTAAGAAACTTGGTATAAAACACATGATTTTACCCATTTTGTCACATAATTKATATATTTTCTTTTGAACTTGGCGCAGACAGAGTGAAACAGGAAGTGACATCAAAGGGGAACTCGTCAAGAAATAAAACTCCGGTTTTTGTTCATTAAACAATATTCTTTGAACTCTGACTCTTCCTCATCTCTTTATAATAGTAATTAAAATAATCTAAAGAAACATCCGATTCTTCTCTACAGTCTGTGTTGTCGGCCTTTTTATCAACGCTCTGTTCATTCTGACATTTCCCTTTGACATCACTTCCTGTTACTTTACATGTGAATATCTCAACAACTGTTCATCTCAGCGACATGAAACTTATTGACAATATGTTGTCAATGTTGCCTTTCCAAAAATGCATTCATATTTATTACAAAACTGTGATGTCACTGGCACTTTAAGCTATTATTCTGCTACTTTATATTTTAGCTAGCTATGATACTTGAAACTTTTAGCTATGTTTTGGTAGTTTTATTTTTTTTAGCCTTCTGATACCTTTAGCTATTAGCTAAATGTTTGATATTTGTAACTTTTAGTTTTTTCAAAATCTTTCCACAGATATTTTGTACTTCTTGAAACATTCTGAGATCGTGTTTAGCTCGAGCTCTGTGTTTCTCTTCAGAACTCCAGCAGCTGTTGTTTTAGCTTTAGCTTGTTTAGCTTTAGCTTGTTGTTGAAGACTTGTGGTTCTGTTGCTCAAAGCGAACCGGACCAGAGAGGAGAACCAGCTGCTGTCCTGCGCAGAGAACAGACAGCGAGGGGAGTGCGAGTCGTCTCGGGGTTTGGGAGCGACGGCGGGGGCGTGTCAGTGGCGGCAGGGCTCGGACCGAGGTGGGCTCTGCAGAACCAACAGAACCGTTTTCAGCAGCGAGTCATAAAAACACGACTCATTTAATAAAAGCTCTGAGGTGTTCGTTTGACTTTCAGAAATCACAAAGAATTACTCGACCTGCTCGCCCGACCTGCGGACCTGTCCGGATACGTTTTGTGACGCCGTGGAAAGCAAAGACTTGTCGATCTGTCCGCAGGACTGCACCAGTAGGACCCGCATGTTCTCATCGAATAAAAGATCAAATAAATTCTGCAGGAAGATGACGCTCTGTCCCTTYGGTTTCTGCAGGGGAAGGCGTGATCGGAGGCTTTGAATCGGGACTGAGCGGGTTCGGCATTAAAGCGGGCCACGGGACCTGCTACTGCTTCTCTGAGAAATGCTTCTGTGAGAAGATGGAGGAGTTCACCAGAGAAGGTGAGTTCACGTAAACATCCGTCTGTCGTTTCTGTTTCAAACCAAGCTCTCACCGCATCGCAACGTTTCGGCTGTTTCAGAGGCGATATGCGACGACATGTGCAAAACCATCATCGCCACGGCTCTGCTCCTCTCCTTCATCGTCTCCATCCTGCTGTCATCCTACTTCATCCACCGCTACCACAAGAAGTCCCCGAAGGCCCCCATAGCTTCGGCTGAGATGACCTTCCGCCGGCCGGCGCAGGTCTACCCCATCAGCTTCCCCGCCAACAACCTGCGCCGCRGCTCGCAGGAGTCCATCGAGACCGACACCTTCAAGATACCCGTAAGCTTCTAGAGCAGGGCTTCTCAACTGCTGGGTCGAGGACCCGTACCGGTCCGTGGTTCTTTTGGTACCGAGGAGAAAAAAGTTCCCTAAAATAATGTATATTAATAGTTTTATTTGGTATGCAGGAATACTTTATTTTGAAAAATGACTTCCTTTTGTGTGTCTTTCTTGTGAGTGCCTCAGTCGGCAAGCGAATTTTAGCTTTTAGCCTTTCTGCTTCTTCTAACTTCTAGCTACTGTTTGAAAGATTTTAGCTTTCAGCTACTACTTATGATGTGCTAGTTTAGAGTTTTATCCACTGTTTTGTTAAATTAAACTTTCAGCTACTCTTCTGGGTTATCTTCTAATTACGGTTTTGCTAATTTTAGCCTTTAGCTATTGTCCTTTTGGTTCTAACTTGTAGCTAATGTTCGGATTATTTTAGCTTACAGCTACTATGACAGTTTTACAAATGTTGGCTTCTCTCCACGGCTTTGCTAAATGCACTTTTTAGCTWCTAATATGATAGTTTTAGCTTTTTAGCTATTATTTAGCTAGTTTTAACTCTTAGCTTTTGTTCTCCAACATAGTAGCTTACTACAGTAGCAGTAAGCTACTATGACTGTTTATTTTCTAATTTTGGCTTCTATCCACTGTTATGCTAAATTAAACCCTTAGCTATTATTCTGCTGGTTTTTAGCTTCTATTTTGCAAATTTTAGCTTTTAGTTATTGTTCAGCTGGTTCTAACTTGTAGCTACTGTTCTGGTTGTTTTAACATACAGCTACCCCAACTGTTTTGCTAATTTTAGCTTCTATCATATGTTTTGCTGAATTTAGTCTTTAGCTTCTATTCTGCTGGTTTTCTTTTAGCGACTGCTTAGCTATTTGTAGTATTTGTTTTGATTATTTTATCTTCAACACTTTAGTTTGAACAAGTTTTTAAGCTCTCAGCATTGATTTATGCTTTATTTGTGCAGAAAAAGCTAATATTCCWAGCTTCCAAAGCTAAAGCTAACCTTAGCTAATAAAAGTAAGARCTTTAATTTTTTCTCCCCAGTTTTTAGTTTTTGGTCCGTGATGCTCAGAAGGTTGGGGAGCGGTTGCGTCACAGATTWATTTTTTGATCTTGGTGAGTCTTTGATGTTTTTCGGCTGTTTCAACAGGAGGATCCAAAGTGGGAGTTTCCTCGTAAAAACCTGGTTCTTGGGAAGACTTTGGGAGAAGGAGAGTTTGGGAAAGTTGTCAAAGCAACGGCGTTCAGGCTGAAGGGAAAAGTTGGCTACACCACGGTGGCTGTGAAGATGCTGAAAGGTAAAAACCATCCTCCATCCAGAGGTCCGGACTGGTCTGTGTTCCAGACTGGTCTGCGGTCCAGTCGGATGGTGTGGTATGAGGTCCAAAATTAAGACTATTGCACAACCAGCGGTTTGCTACATCCTTGTAGCAGGAGGCTGTATCTATTCCTAACCAGCTACTGATCTGATTAATGATAGGCCAACACTGCTAACTGAGGGAGTATGGTGACGAGACAGACCCAGGGCGCAGGCAGGTTTCAAAGTTTAACAAAAAGGTTTAATAAAATAAC